GCATAGTTTAGGTTTAATAGTTCGAATGCCTATCGCCTGACTCAGCTGTGTACAGTAGACGAATACGAAGTCTATTAGAAAGATTCGGTGGGATACGATGAATTACTTTGAAAGCTCTCGTTTTCTCCACTACATGACCACTATCAACTAAATGTGATAAAATTGAGCTGCGGATTGTTTTTGTCTATCCTTTGTCAAACCACGATGGGAGATGTTCAATAGTGACACGTTGACTAGGTTGTCTAGTAGTACGCCCAACATAACTGTCACCTCAGGTGCAGTTGACTTGATAAATGCACATACATGTGGCAAAACTACCTAGCTTATCCTTCGTTTGAGTCCCGATCATTCGTTGACTAGAGGATGACAAAAATAGGTATCCTGCGTAAAACGTTCTTCGTATCCTCCTGGAAAGTCTCTGGAATAAAATCTCACTTGATAAGTCACCACTAAATTATAAGTTAATAGACAGAGGTGTTTTAAGTGCAGTCAGAGTCTCAGGTTTTCTCTCTGATGTTTTCATATGCTTCTTTATGAAACTACTCGGATAGCCCATCTGCGTCAAGGAATCGTGAATATATTCAAGTTCCTTTTGTAAGAGGTCATTCATACATATATTTCTTGCTCTGCTCGCGAGACAATTAACATTTCTTTTATATTTAATGGGCATGGAACTAAGGAAGTGTGTGTATTGCCCTGTGAATGTGGTTTTTCTACACACGCTTCTCCCAGGTAACCCATCTTCTCGCCTACGTAGCAATACGTTAGCCTTCCCATCAGCTAACATCGACATATCGGTAATACATATCAAACTCCTTGATGATGTCTTTCAATTTCCCGTTTCCAAGTTTTGCGAGAAAGAAGTCAGCTAATATTGGGCCTAATGGTGAACCCATAGCTATTCCATCTACTTGTCGATAGTATGAATTATTGAAGACAAAGTGAACGTTCATTGTACATTTGACAAGTAATTCTTTGAGACTACACAAAGGAATTCCTAAGTCTAGTTGCCTTTCGGTGATTTCTTGACAAATGTAATCTACTGTTTTGCATAAGCGATACATTAGTGAACAGGGATGATACATCCATAGAAAACATGCGTTTATACCTCACATTAGTCTCGGATATTTTAAAGTCGAAGATATCACTAATTCTATGTTGCACGATTTCTCTGTGTAAAGGTCCCAGAATCTTCACTAACCACTTCGCTATTCCGTGAAATGGAGAGTTATACATATGTCAAGGACTTAACCCTAAGTTCCTATTGTTACGAAGACGCTACGAACTGATAATTATTATGTACTTTCTTTGACTTTAAATCCAAAACACCAGAACTCGTTGGAAAGTTATATTGTTTGGCAATTAAAGTAAAGATAATTACAAGTCTACAAACAAATGTTTTATACAAAATATATAATGCAATTTTATTCATCTTCTTCCAACATGTACACGATAGAACCATTCGCGCCTTCGAGTTGCCCATCGATGGCGATCAAGTCCAATGAACCAACATACAGTGTTCACCTCCATTGACACTCACCGGTAAAATAGGGTCCATCCCTTTTTCCCATAGCGCCGATAACCTTTAACTCAACTGCCAACGCGGGAGCCTGGGCCAACCTGGACAAGGCTAAAATGGAAAAGCAAGACAAAAAAAGCCCAGCACACAATAAGCATACTACATTACACCGGCAGGCTCTCCCCCGCCTGTGAGATCTTCCTCAGTGATCAGAACTTTCCTTCGCTCTCTGTCGACAGTACCACCACTGATCTGGTCCACGGGGTATTGATTGCTTCACATCCCTCTGGCACAATCCCCTCCCTGGCATATCAAATCGCATACACTGACTCTAACACTACTCGATTCGTTCACAAGTTTAGAAGACTAGAAACGACTTCATAAGTACTTACAATAATATTACATGATTCACACAATGCGACAACTATAAAATCAGACAACAATTAGATGATTCGGAACCCAATCAATTACTTAACACAAATATATATGTACAGTCAATACGTCAAATGTTGTGGATTCTCCCTCGACGAGCTACCCTTGAAGAATTGTAGGACTTACAGCAGTACGCCTACAACCTTTCTCACGTTGACGCCCTAGGTTGGAAAATCGTCGCAGAGTTCATCTGCTGACCTCCTTCCATCATCGATATCCTCAACTCTGAACAGTGACACACCCATGTAATTGTATCGTGGAATGTAGACGACTAACAAACATACGACATATCTGACCAACCAAGCGTAGGCACAGAGTAATTTACACCAAAGATAATAACATTCAAATAGTAACTTGAAACTTGAAATGCCTTTATTCGTGCAAGTCAGTTTAACAATCACTCTCTCATACACATTTGGCTTATACTCACTAAACTGACCATTGACTTTCGTCCTTTCAAACGGACCGATAACGCAAGACACCTGAGTTCACGGACATCCCTTTCATTGTGGATGACAACACCAACAACGACTGAACGATACAAGTCGATGAACTCAGCGGTGCATCAGAAGCTGTTGCTGTTCGACCTTTAGAAGGTTGTCTTACCATAAAATTACCCCCACGGCTATATTTTATGATCAGCCCCAGTTCAGTCTTAACATCTGTCGATAGGTGGGCTACACGCTGATCATTTACACTGACGGTTTCACGAGTGTCCATAACTTCTGCAATCACATCATCTCTTAATTCTACTTCACGTTCGAGCTGTACAGAACTTTTATTCAACTCAGTCGTAGTACTAATAGTAGGCATTCCGCTCATCTCATCATGACCAGCAAAAGACAAATGTGCTCCATCATGATCATTGTCACAAATATCCACATTACCATCGCATCTATCTGTGGAGTCAGAACTGGACTCTGAAACTGTAACTCTTTTCTTCTGCATGAGCTGCGGTATCATCTGTGACACTCTATTCAACAAAGGATTTCCACTAAACTTGCTCACTGCTTCACAGTTCGCCTTTGTATCCACTTCTTGCAAACGGACGAAAGACAACCGTGTTTGTCTTCCAGCTTGTAACCTATCTGTTGGGGACGTCCCACGGAAGCTATCACACTCATTAAGTTTGCATACACACAGCTTTCTCGATATCCACTTCTCTGAGACCGTTTCGTCACAAATGATTGCGTTTTGCTCTGATTTCCCTATTCCAGGGGTGGGATGCAGTATACTAGCAAACTTGCTCAACAGGGAGCGGTCCCTTAATAAAACCACCTGCTTCGGTCTGGGCGCCCGGGCAGTATCTCAGCCCTCACA